CTAATATATAAATAAATAATTTAAATTAGCTTAGTTTTACAGCATCATGCCTTCTGGAGGGGGCCTTTCTTTGGAATGATGCCTCTTTCTATTGGTCTGAATGAACTTTAGCAATAACTTTCTATTGGCCTAAAATAAGTATTTATATCAGGCTTGAGGTGAAGACAATGTGATCTGTGAAATGCCTTTTCAAAAGTCAGCAATTCTCAAAACTCATTCTGAAAAACAGAAATTTGAAAAAAATAGAAAAAATTTAATTTGAAAAAAAAGAAAAAAATTGTAATTTGGAAATACTTCCATCAATTAAAATTCCTAAATATTTAAAAGGTTGAACCCTTTCTATCTCTGACCAATGCAAAGTCATAAGAGGATAGCTATTTTGCAATTTTGTCTTTGTTTTTGAAAATGACATCATTTTACTTTTATTTGAATTTAAAAAAAAGATCTAGTTTTAAAAGCCTGTACTGAACCGAATTAAAATTAATTTGTAACGTAGAGACACACGCACTAGGGTTTTTTTTCCAAAACTGTAAAAAACCATGTCATCAGCATAAAAATGGTAGTTGGTGTCTATAAGATCCTGGCCAACATTGTTCACATAGATAGTAAATAGTAGTGGCTCCAAAACGGAGCCTTGGGGCACTCCTTTAGTTAGTGGCAATTTTAGTTTTCATATCTATATGAAAACTACTATAACTAATATTTTCATTTCCACATTTTCTTTGTAACAATAATGGAACAAAATTCACTCCGTATTTTTCTTCTCAGCCTCTTGCTGGTGGAGCCATCAAACTCTTAGGATGATCATATTTGGACATTTGTGCACAATATTAAGACGTGGTGAGTTCAAGGTCAGTTATTCTACTTTTTAAAAACCAGACCTTTATGCACGAGAAAAAAAACCTATCGTTTAATCTCATGTTTCTTCTCAAAATAACAGCAATTTACAGACATTTAAAACTAAAAATACTTTACACACATTTTGGAATAGGGCGCAGTCTTCTTTAAAATATAATATAGCTCTCGATTACTGCACAACATCGGCTTTACAGAGCATCTGAATCAACAAACAGGTTCTATCACCTTTGTTTATAAGTTTTCTAATGTCCCTGTAAACTGGTTGAACTGGTTTCACTTTGATTGTGATGCAGAAATCTCCACCAGACAGAAACAGTCCAGTTTAAACTACATGAGATGAGGATGTTTTCCGTATTAATCCAGTGGATTTGCAGTGAGACGGCTCTCACAGGTGTTACCATCAATACTATCAACACATTTCTATGAAAGGAGTTTTATCAGAGGTGTGACTCAGCTCCCTGTTTTTATAGTCAGACCAGAAAGCGTGACCACATCATTCTGCTCTCTTATTCTTAAACTAAATCGATGTTTCTGAGCCTGCCTTTGTTTAGCCCACCAGCCGCTTGTGTTTCCTGACTCAGCAGATTTCGTTGCTCCATCTCATTGCCTCCTAAATCCGTTTAACTGCAGCTGTCTGGTAATAATAACTTGTCCCACAAACCTTATTTCAGCCTCAGTTGGATTTACTGAGTCTGAAATGTTGAGTCTCCATCTGTGCCTGATCATAACAGGCTGTTAGCAGGTAGATTTTGTTCTATTCTTACTGAGAACTTACTGAGCAAGAAGACAAGTCAGTTTACATGACGCATCATCTTCCAAACACCTGCTAAAGAGGCGCTGAAGAAAAAAAAAACTTTAAACAAGTCTTAAAACGGAGTTTTAAACTCACCGACCATAAACTGTTAGTGTATTTGGTGGGATCTGTGAGGTGTTTGTGCTCTAGCTTAGATGTACGGTGGCAGAGGGATGCAAACACTGTAAAAATGTTTTTGCAGCAAATTAAAAACGTCCTGCTAACTTGAAAAAGATACTAGCTAAAAACAGTAACGTCACTAAAACACACACAAAAATAAAGAATGTAAAAGAGAAACGCTGCAAATGTCAACGTAGCGGGCCGCCATGCTTAAATCTCTCTATGCTGCATGAA